TTTTTGCGGTACGCGGGCCGCTCACCGATGTGGCCTCTCCCGTTGCGGAGCACAGGCTCCGGACGCGCAGGCTCAGCAGCCACAGCTCACGGGCCCAGCCACTCCGCGGCATGTGGGATCTTCCCGGACCGGGGCACGAACCCGCGTCCCCCGCATCGGCAGGCGGACTCTCAACCACTGCGCCGCCAGGGAAGCCCCGGTCATAAATATCTTGCATGAAGTGTTGTCCTGAGGGTTAATGAGATAATATATATGAAGAGTCTAGCCCAGTACCCGGCTGATGGCAGATACCTGGCGTATGGTGGCCAAAATCACACTTTGTGGGTAGTTCCCCACTGGAGAGCAGCGGAGAAATTCCTTGGAGAGTCCCATGGTATGTGTTCAAGCTGTAAAGGACACTCACTTGGCTTTTATGCGAAAAGATTAACTTTTTCTTTAAAAAATTGAAATATAGTTGATTTACGATATTGTGTTAGTTTCAGGTGTACAGCAAAGTGATTCAGTTATACATATGCATGTTTTTTTCAGATCCTTTTCCATTATAGCTTATTACAAGATACTGATTTTTACAAAGGGGGAAGCGGGGTGACCTGCTGGTAAGCCCACGGTTCAGGCTGCTCTGATTGGAGTGTTTATTGTAGGGAGGGATGGGGCAGGAGGTGTGGTGGGAAAACCGTCCAGGTCAGATCATGCTGCACCTGAGAGGCCAGGTGATAGCAATAAGAGTGGTGATGCTATTAAAAACCACACCTAAGATTTAGTGGACATTTACTACGTATTGGGCACTTCCCATCTGATACATCTAGTCTGCATATTGACTCCTTAGGTGTATCATTCATTCATTCAGCAAATATTTATTAAGCACCACCTATGTGCCAGGAAGTATGCTCGGTGTTGGGGACACATGAATTGCTTACATTCTAATGGAAAGAGACAGACAAAAACAAACAAAAGACCAAAACGCCAGATTGCAATAGTGCAATACAAAGAAAAATAAAGTGGGCAAGAGGAATAGAGAGGGGTGTCATAGTAGGCAGAGAGGATCTCATTGAGCAGGTGACATTTGACCTTCTGCGCGAGGGGGATGTGAAGAAATGAGGCGTGTGAATATCTAGGGGAAAGCATTCCAGGCAGAGGAAGCAGCAAGTGCAGAGGCCCTTTTATGCTCAAGGAATAGCACAGAGGCCAGTGTGCCTGGAGTGCAGTGAGTGAAGGATGAGTCTGCAGAGATGGGCGGGGGCCAGGTGATGTGGGGCTTTGTAGGCCACGGTTGATTTAGCATTTTGTACTGCCGTGGAGGGATGCCATTGGAGTACTCTAAGCTAGGAGCTGACTTTTAAAAGGCCCCCTCCGACTGCCGTGGGGACAAGAGTGGCAGCAGGCAGGCCGGTAGGAGGCTCGTGCACTTCTGCAAGTCAGAAATGAGGCTCTCAGCCTGGAGAGTTTGTAGTGGAGGTGGGCAGGGGCTGTCAGAGTTGGGAGTGATTTTGGAGGTAGAGCTAGAAGGGTTGTTTCCAGGTTTAAAAGAAAACAAGGAGTCTGATGGTTGTAAGGTCTGGGGTCTGAGTTAACTGAGTGATGGTGCTGTTTGCTTTGAGAGAAGAGCAGGGGGGAAGGTGGGAATTGAGCTCAGTTTTGATGTATTGAATTGGAAGAGCCCCTAGACACGCAAGGGGAGAGGTTGAGGGGGGAACTGGCTGTGCAGATCTGGAGCTCAGAGGTAAGCCGTTTGTGGACTATCACGCTTTGTTGTTGTTTTCTTAAATTTTATTTTTTAATTAATTTATTTATTGGCTGCGTCGGGCTTTCGTTGCTGCGCATGGGCTTTCTCTAGTTGCGGCAAGCGGGGGCTACTCTTCGTTGCGGTGCACGGGCTTCTCATTGCGGTGGCTTCTCTTGTTGCGGAGCACGGGCTCTAGGCGTGTGGGCTTCAGTAGTTGTGTCACTGTGGGCTCGGTAGTTGTGGCTCGCGGGCTCTGGAGCGCAGGCTCAGTCGTTGTGGCGCACGGGCTTAGTTGCTCCGCGGCATGTGGGATCTTCCCGGACCGGGGCTCGAACCCATGTCCCCTGCATTAGCAGGCGGGTTCTTAACCCCTGCGCCACCAGGGAAGCCCGACTATCACACTTTGGATGAGATTTAAAGCCAGGGACTGAAGGATCCCACCCAGAGAGGGAGTACAGAGGGTGAAGGGCACTGTCACTTGGAACAGCTCCAGGATGCAAGTGCTTTTGGCATCCTCACTTTCAGTTGGAAACATTGAGCATCGGTGGGGTTGAGTGTCTTGCAGGAGTCACCAGCTGGGAAGGAGTAGGGCTGGGATTCAAATCCAGGCAGTTTCCCTCCAGAGGCTATACTTTGAACCCCCATCCTCTTCTGCTGCCCAGATTTTACTGTCAGAGTAGTGGGAGGTTTTTGAAGATCTGAAGGGGTTTTGAACAGAGCCACGGCCCAGCCGAGCTCTGCTTCCTCCAGGCAGTGTGCTCAGGGGAAGGCGCATGACCCAGAAGTCTGAGGTCTCGAGTGAGTGTCGTCCTGCCTCGGGCTGCCCGTGTGACTCTGACGAGTCTCATTGCCCCTTCGTGTCTCAGCTTTCTCCTCTGTAAAATGGGACTAGCAGCCCACTCTGTGGAGTTGCCGCATGGGCTTCTGGGAAAATCTCGCTGGAGAGTGGATGCAAGGGCATTCTGTGGAGGACCCTGCAGACGTGAGGGCTGGGATGATCTTTCCCTGGACGAGGAAAGGAGTCCTAATCCTGTTTTGTGTTTTCTTTCTTTTCTCCGTCTCTGAACCAGAGTCATGATGTTTGAAGGAAAAGCCAACGAGAGCAGCCCCAAGCCAGTTGGCCCCCCTCCAGAGAGAGACATTGCCAGCCTGCCCTGAGGACCCCCGCCTGGACCTGCCCCGCCCTCCCCACTCCTCTGCCTCCCTCCTGATCTCACTGCCCTTCTCGACTCATTGCGATGTGTCTTATTTGTTCTGTTTGGTCATTGTGCGTTTGTTTTTTCATCAGCAGAGTCAGTGATCCCTTTGTATAGCACAAGTTATCTGCCTTAAAGGGGCTCTGGGTTGGGGAGTCCAGATCGCCTCCTTCTCTTTCTCCCTGCGTCTCCCCTCCCTGTGCAGAAGGGCTGACATTAAACCAAATACCAGAGGGGGCAGGGCCAGGACAGGGAGACCAGAAGCCTGTGATTCCCGCACTTGAAGCTGGTACTGTTTGTCCTTCCAGGTCACTGAGCTAAGTCCTGGTACCCTGGCCTGGCCCTGGTAAGGCCCTCAGCCCCTTTCAGAAGACCCTGGAGTCGGGATAAGGCTGCAGGGCCTCCTTAGGGTATTCTCGGACACCCTCGGCTCTGTGGTTCCAATGCTCTTGGGTGGGCCAGGATGTGGTCACACAATGTCCCACCTCCTCAGCTGGTCCCCTCTCAGTCCACACTTTGTCTTATCCTTAGTGAGGTGACAGAAGGAGAGAAGGAGAGGGACTTGGCAATTTGAGCCCTTCAAGAAAGTTCCAGAGGAATCCTCTAGCCTTGCCCCCTGGCCACACCTTTACAGGCAGCTCAGAGGAAGGGTGCAGCTCCCCCTGACCCTTGCTGGGGCTTCAGAGGCAGAGGGGGTCCAGGGGCCTTGGGGGAGGGGATTCAGCTCAGTCTAGTCCCACCTTTTAGGGAGGATGTTGAGAGCAACAGGATAGGAGGATGAGGACTTAAGTGCTCATGGCAAAGAGAGGCAGCACCACTGTTAAGCCAGGAGCTGAGAAATAGGTTGCCTTTCTGATCCCAATCTGCTTGAAACCTGACTCTACTTCCCCATTTGGCTTCACACCTTCCTTACACCGTTCATTCATTCATTCACTCACTCACTCCGTCATTCAACAGGTATTTATTTACAACCTATTATAAGCTTTAAGTCCCCCCGACTTTGTCCTGACATGTGCCATGTCCAGTGTCTCTCTAATTCATCATTCTGTTTCCAAATCACTCAAAACCTTGAGCTTGGGGATTAGATTGGGGTCACCTGTGTTTTTTTATTATGGACTAGGGTTTTAGAGCCCTGATTCACCCTGTAGGTTAGCTGGGCCAGGCCTCTCAGTTCACAGGTGAGAAAACTGTGGTGACCCACAGGGATTAAGTGCCTTGCCCTAGGGCAGGGGTCAATCTGGAGATGGAAGATCCGGACCGGGGCCCAGGTGTTCAGATGCCCTGCCCATGCCTCAGTCAGTGATGAAAACAAGGGAAGGGGCGGAGAGGGGCAGTCTCCTAGGTCAACCCTTGGGCAAGGCCCTGGGCCAGGATTCACCCTTCCCAGTGCCTCTGAGGCGGCATCAGCAGGGACCCCAGCCTTGACCCCACCTGTATTCTGGAGTCCCTTCCCCTGCCCACTCAGGACTTAGATGCACTCATCCATTGAACGTGTTTATTAACCACCTGTTATGGGCCGAGAGCTAAGGACCCAGTAGTGAAATGGACAGACTCATGGAATTTAGAGTCTAGTGGGGAAGTCTGACCCAGGTGATGAAAGTTAGGAAAGAGGAGGATACGAGGTGACTGCAGGGCAATCCTGGGGGCCTAACCGGGCCCAACACTGGGCAAGGGTCTTGGAGAAGCCTTCACAAACCTGAAGGGGAGAGCTGTGGGGGCGCTGGAGCCCCTGGGAGCTCCCTGTGGCTCCTCTGACCCGTAATCAAGGCCAAGGAGCTGACTTTACAGCAGCTGCAGGGAGTGGAGCAGGTAGGGGATGGGGAACCAGCCAGGTTGGGTTAATCCACTGGTCTCGACCAGTTCGGGAACGAGATTATTTGGCCACAAGTGGCTGATCTTCGGCCTAAGAAGGTACTTCAAATGCATAAGCCTAGTTGAAGTTTAAACCGCAGCAAAACATTCCACCCTGTAAATGTAAAATCTCACCTCCACTCCCTCCCCTGCCTTTTTTTTTTTTTTCTCCTGAGATCCTTAGATGAGCAACTGCCTGTCTCCACCCCTTCCCACTGCCTCTCCTTTCTGGGACAGGCTGAGACCTTTGAGCAAAAGGTAATGCCTTCCTTGACTACCCATCATAGTCAGTGTATCTGTACCTCACTCAGACAGGAGGACGGACCCACCCAGGCTTATTTCAGCGGGTTGCACACTTTACAAGACTGCAGGAAACCTGCTTAAGAGAGGAGAGCGAGTGGGTGTGTCCCCAGCTTGGAAAGAGTTCTCTCATTGGATGGGGAGTGTCCTGGGGAAACTTTACCAGCTCCTTCATCATTTGGAATTCAACTTCCAGAGCGAGAGGGTCTCGAGTGGTCCCTGGAAAGGGGGCGTGGTCTGCATGTATTTCAGGTTGTGGCTATTAGCTCTAGGACTCTTACTTCTCTGGCTAAGGGCTCAGCTTCTAGGAGTTCAGCTGTCTTCTTTCTGAAAGACCAAATCTAACTAATGTAACCAGCAGCTTGGGGACTGCCGAGTATGGCTCTGTCCCTGCCATTCAAAAGGAAGGAGTATGTCGGGCGAGTTCAAGTGGATGCCGTATGTGTGTGCGTGTGCGTGTTGAGTATGTGTGGTCCTGGACTGGAAATAAAACAGACAAACTTATCAACGTCTTGACTGGTGTATTTTGGGCGTGGTTCCGGGGTCAGCAAATTCAGAAGAGCTAGCTCATATAGTGACACGACTGAAAGTGTCCTGTGTGCCTTTACTCCTCACAGCAACCCCATGAGGAAGGTTCTATTATATCATCCTAGTTTGATAAATGAGAAGGAGGCTTGGAGCAGATAAGCAGTTTGCTGAAAACCAAATAGTAAGTGGCAGAATACACCCCCCCTCCCGGAGCTGACCCATGGGCTCCAAGTTAAGAATCTCTGTCCTAGAGCATTTATAATATAATTCAACTACAAAAATCTCTACGTAGGACTGTGTAATAGCCAGCAATCAGCAAGGCTGAATTCTAACCCAGCCTTCACCACTTTCTGACTGAGGGGCATTGGGGAATTTTCTTAACTTCTCGGTGCTCCCAGCTGCCTCATCAATTAAATGGCAATGATAACCGCTAGGTGACTAGAATGTCTTTGCGCAGTGTTTCGCGCAGTTTCCAGGCTTGTTACTCCAACGAGTAAACAAAGCTGATCGCTGGGGCCCTTTAATATCCCCTTTCAGCCTTCAGACACGTTAAGAGTCTCCGTGGCGAGAACCCGGCCCCCCAACTTTCTGAGAACCTTTTTCCTCCACACTCCTCTAAAGCCTTTCTCAGAAGCTACAGCCCCTTGGAAATATTTGTCAAGTTCCCAACTCCTCTGAAATCGGAACTATTAATAACCACCTACATCCAAAGACTACTGCGAAGTTTCAACGAAACGAACGTGGAGGACCCGCGCCTGCACTTCCCAGTGTGAGAAAGCAACAGCAAGCAAGCGCGCTCCACCCGAAAACGCGGTGGCGGCACCTGGACGCTCCCAAGCGCAGGCGCACAGACCCCGGGCCACGCCCCATACTCTGTCAGAGCCGGCCAATGGGAGGCGGCGGCCAGAAGAGCTCTCGACTTTAGATGGTCCCTCCGCCTCCCTCGGCCCGAAACGTGTGATGTCATCAAATCGCGCCGGAAGGTGCGTCATGTCTGCGCGCCGCTAGAGCTGAGGGAAGGAAGTTGGCCTGGGAGTCGCCTGGGCTGTGTCTGCAAGGACGCGGGCAGCTGCGGTAGCTGCTTTGACCTGTTGAGGGCGGCGCGATGGGAGACGAAATGGATGCCGTGATCCCCGAGCGGGAGATGAAGGTCAGACACTGGCCGGGGCCTCCCTCCCTTCCTTAGTTCTGGTGTTGCCTTGGAGCCCCGCTGACTCGGGAAGCTCGGATGTCCGCTG